GGGCTTGTTCATAAATCAATGTGTAATCTAGGGCTAGCATTATGTTTGTTCCGTTTGCTCAGTACTTAAAGTTTAAAGTTCCTCTTTTCTTTTTCTTCTTGGCCTTGTAGTGGCCTAAAGTGGCCTTCTCCCTTTTCTTTTTTTCTTCCTTAGGCTTTTAGCCACCTGAAGCTGAGGCTTTTAGTTTCTGTCTCCAGTTAATAAGAGGAAAAGAGGGAAAAAGGAGGGAGCCCAGTGCCTCCAGGGAGTAGCCTCCCTCTGCTACAGACCCGGCCGCAAGATAATCACTTATTTTCTCCCTTTTTTTATTTAAGTAAAATCTTTAGAATGGCTTGTATCTCTAGGTGGTGAAAGAGTTTCTTTTTTCCATTTCTGTGGATGTTTACCTGACAAGCTCCTGGTGGTATCCAGTAGCCCCCTGTTGTTTGGACCTTTCAGATTGTTACCGGAGAAAAACGGGTGGGGGGCGTTGACCTCCGTGTTTGCAAACCGCTTAGGCAGCCTCTTCCCCTTCCAGGATGTCCAAGTCGACCTCCGAGGGGTCGGGGTCGGAGGATTACAGCAAGGAATGCAGCAACCAAGGAGCCGCCAGCCCAGAGATTGCCGCATCTGTGTGGGGACTTGGCTGCCCAAGCAGGGGTCACCCCCCGGGCTAGGCTCTGCAGTCAGCACCCATGTCCCAACTGCAGACACTGCCAGTCTGAGGGACTGAACGGGGGTCGGGGGGAGGGGCAACAGACAATTATCATAGCTTCCCTGGCGCACACACTGTCGCTAGCTGGGACAGGAAAGGAAGCAGTCAATGCACCATGGTACCCCCTGGGGAAAAGGGGATGGGGAATGTCACACCTCACTCTAGGGAAGGGTAGAATGCACTGTGTGGGGGTTCCAGAGACACACCAGACCTTGGCCTAGAGCAAGAATCCCCCTTCTGAGGGGACGGATGGCTTTGGGAGCACCTTACGCGTCCCCAGCAAGTAACAGTTTAGGGTGGGCAGCCTGGCAGCACTCTGCAGATGTGACAAAGCGGCACAAAGCTGCTGAATTGCTGGGAACAGTACCCCCTCATCGGAGGTTGCCCATGGCAACAGGATGTTAATGAGCCACAGCTGCTCAAAGATACCTGTGCTTTTTCTCTTTTCTCGAGAGGCACTCCCCATCCTACCAACTACAGCAATTGCTTTAATTTAGGATCTTTAAGATGGAGAGCTCCCCTCCAGTGATTAGGAGAGAAACAAGATGGAAATAAAGATTGTATTACTTACAGGGAGGCCACCCACAGGAAGTCAAGGAGCACAGGGAGAGAGGCAGGGACCTGTGGGGGCCAACACCTTTGTTGGGGTCCAGGGCATTATCCAAACAGGTCTCCCCCTGGGGATTTTAATCAGTGGACTTAAAGCAGGCACGAGTTCCAGGAGGTCATGCAGTGACAGACAGGAGGTCACTGTCGCATATCTGCACGGTCCGTGTGGGCTGTGAGGGTCAGCAGGGCCAGGCAAGCCAGCTGCATCTGTCCCATAGGGAAGTGGTCACCAGAGAGCAAGAGTTGTATAAGGCAGACATCTGGATCGGCCTCACTGCGGACCTGGGGGCACAGGGGAAGAGTAGGACTGGAAACCATGTCAAGGTGACTGAGCCCTGCTTCTGGCATGAGAAAGTCCAACTTACATTTTAAATGGATGCTGAATCAAGGGAAGGAAGAGAGGGAGGGAGGAAGTAAAAGGAGAGGGTGAGAGAAGGAAGGAAAAGAGAAAGTAGAGACTGTACGTTCTAGTGGAAAATAACATCGGACTCTCAGAAAGCAGGGCAGTGTCTTATTCATACTATATATTTTTGATGCAAGTTCTAGAAATCCTTATAAATTAATATGCTATGCCTAGAGAAGCTCAGTAAAAATGATTCTAAAGGAGGACAATAAACATATAGAAATATGTCCAACGTCAGAAAATGTAGGGGCCAAGGAAAAACTTCCCCTTTGCCCTCGGAAGGTTTGCTGAAAATCAGTGACAAAAAATTTGGACAGATGAATAGGAGAAAAAGCATACAAATTTGAGCATAGTTTTACATTACACAGGACCCTTCAGAATGAAGACCCAAAGATACAGGGGAAATTGTCCATTTTTATGCTTAGGTTCAACAGAGTATGGACAGCTGTGTAGAACTATGATTGGACAAAAAAGGTATGATCTAATGTTGATAGAGTGAGTGGAGAACCCAGCAAGGCCTGTCTGGATTCTACTTGGCCTCTCTGAGCAGCATTCCTTCCTTCCGAGTATGGGGCAAGACCCTCTCTGGAGTGGGGGGTCTTATAACCTACAGTCAATCAAGGTAGGACAGATAGTTTATGACCAGTTTTTACACAGTAAGACAGGGGGAAAGTTACAGTAATATTTTTAGGTTTTAAGGCTGGCTTTGGGGGAAAGGGGTTCTGGTCTCTGTGACCTACCTTAGGGAAGAGGAATTCCAGTTTCTATGGCTAGCCTCGGGGGACGATGAACGGCCAGAGACAGGAGAGCAGGAGGTCAGAGAAAAAACTTTTGCTTCTGAGGCTTCATTTTGGGGTATCCTTTTCTAAGCCCAACAATGTGATTAGCAAAGTACTAAAAAGTTCTCTACTGACTTCAAACTGGGACTTTTTCCAGAGTTCCATTACCACTAAAAATGAAAATCACTTGAATTTTTTGCAAAACAGGCCTTCCATCCCAGGGAGTAAAATTTCATCTGTTATATTAATATGTTCACACTTATGATCACAGTGTTAATAAGTTATTAGCTTAGGGCAGATACTCCTGGCCCCAGTAAATTGTTAACTCTCTAGCAATGTACAAGGTAAAGAATGCTGTAGAAATCATTGGCCTGGGTTCCAGCTCTGACTGCTGACCTCAAGGTTGTAAGAATCACATGAGCACATGTGAAAACACCTTGGAAAATGTGAAAATAAGTGGTGTGATTCATGGTCAGGTCACTCCCCAAGTTTTCTGAACCTGATCGTAAAGATTCTAAGGGCCATAGAGGCAAAAGCCATCGTGCTTGTGATATCACTCGCTGAGACCAACCACCTGAATCTCTGGAATCTCCTGCTCTCTCCTGCCCCTGCTTTTGGCAGTGGCAGTCAGGTGGGCCTCCCTAGGTGTCATGGAGAAACATTTGTCTTCAGTAGAAGAGACACAGAAGAATCATTAAATCAGCAGTTAAACCAGGGGAGAAGGTGGGGGTGGGGTGGGGAGGGAATAAGGTCACCACTGTTTTTCTTTTGAGCATATAAAAGCTTTCAGGGACTTCTGCTGTTTCAACTTAATATCAAATTTCAATTCTTAGCTTTATGATACCAATTCTTAAATTTTTCTGTTTACATAAGCAATGCTCATAATCAGAATGAAAACTAGTATCCCAAGAACAAGAAGCCATATAACAAATGCTGCCACCACCTTCTGAATCCATCTTAGCGTGAGCATGGATGTAACTCCTGGGAGAAATGTTCTGTAGCTGCTTCCACGGAGTCCAGAATTTGAAAAGTGTGAAAGTGGTTAGTGCGGTTCTTGCATCATTTCGATTTCACCCCTGCAACACAACAAAGCAGGGATTGTGTGTGCTGCTTTTGGGCAGTTTGCTGAGAGCTGGGCAGCCTATGGGCCAGAGGAGGGGTTGTATAATTGTATAAAAGGTTCCGTGTGGGCGTAATGATGCGCGGAGTCTGATTTCTGGGCAGATTAGATTCCTCTGAGTCAAATTCAGTGTCTACCCCACCTTATGTTTGAGCCATACCGCCATGGACAGCAGGCTCTGACGGTCAGGCAGTTAGAACCGATGGGGACCAGCAGCTCCGCAGCTCCTCAGCCGTCCCACCCGCCTACCAAGCCAAGGCTTGCTCCAGCTCATGCCCCCTGCGGGGTGGCAAAGGCAGAGGCAGTTTCTTGTGCTCTCCACAGATCTGGCATGCCTGGTCCTGCCCGGAGCTCGGCACTGCTGAAAATGCAAACCCCACAAAACAGCTTCTAGGAGAGTTGCCAGGAAGCATTCACAATTGTGAAACAACTGCCTCCTTGTTCAGGAATCTCATTTAAATGTTGCCAAACCAATTTCATGTCTCTCCTACAGAAACTCTGATTTTGAAGGAAATTTGATTCATCTTGATTTATTTGGCTAAATAATTATTTGGCCAAATTTGATTATTTGGCTAAATGATAAGTTTTTCAAATAACTTCTAATATTAAAACCTTATGGCCTTTTCTACTTAATTATCTAAGGATATCCACTGCACGTCTCTTCCTAACCCTGTGTCTTTCTCCTCCCCCCATTTTTCCACCTGGGAGGGTATATAATCTCACACTTTCTAAGCCCATTCTGAAATTTCCCTTGCTTGGCACTGCTCAAAACAAATGTAACCCTGGCTCTCGGTCTTTCCAAGTCATCTATAAAAAAGAAATGGTTTATGTATGCTGTTAGGAGTTATTTCTTAATTCATTTAGGGGAAAATGCTGATCTTCCTTTGTGATTAGTAAAATTTGTTTTTATTTCTTTTACTGCATGTGAGTTTTCAAATATCCATTTTTTAAGGACAGTATCTTTGTTTAAGGTTCCATTGTTATTTTTTTTAAAATGCCTTTGCAGCATTTCGTATATGACAAATCCTAAGAGGTAAAAAAAAAAAAAGAACTTGCAGCCCTTTGTCCAGGGCTCACAAGGTGGGGTGGGGCAGTGGTGGCCAGCGCTAAGCATGCAGGAGTCTCAGCTCTGTTCTTTGCCTGGAGGTTGTTTACAGTTAAACACTTACGGTATCTGAAATATTAGATATTGAAATACATAAAAGGTAGTCTTGAAAATTCCACAACTCTGTTCTGATACACGGGTAAACATTTATTTGTATACCAAAGGGAAAACCAATATTCACTTAAGGCTGCTGAATCCATATTTCTAAGAGTAAAGATGTTTAATTTACTATCCACCTTTAAAAGGCTTCATATAAAATATAGCTAGGAATATACATAAAGAATTCAGATTATAAAACTCTCCAGGAAATCAATGGTCATAATAATATTGGAACGACAGTTAAAAAAAAAAAATCTTCTAGGATTCCTAACTGTAGTTTACTTAAAAGTACAGATAATCAGTACCAACTTTATATATCAAGTTGTAATAGGCAATTGTAAGCAAACCGTATCAATCTGGATAACTTTTAAAAATGAATCCGAAGTTGTTATGAGCTGTATAAAAATTGATATTATTCTTCCAGTTCTCCCAAAAGCTCTACAAAATCAGTGATATACCATTTGGCATTGTCCTTTACTTGTTGTCTGATCACATTTCCTCCAAATCCAATGAAAACATCCTAAAAAGGGGGCAAAAAAAAAAGAGGGAAATAATTTTTTTAAAAAAGATGCAGTAGCAATCCAAGGCAGTAAGTGTTGTCTGAAAGAATAAACTGTTCCTGCGGAGAGGTGAGGCCAGCCTCGCCGAGGGTGCCTCCCCTGAGCTCACTGTGGTAAGAAAGCGCCTCCTCGCCTCCTCCTGCACCCCCTGCGCTCCCTCGTGCATCAGCAAGGGCACCACTGCTACGGATCCATTCGGCTGGACAACGTGGGGGCTTTGGGAGAAGGGTAAGATGTGGTCCTTGCCCTCTTCAAACCGAGACAAATGCTTACAACAATAAAAATCACATCAGTAGGTAAATATTTGACTTCTAAACTGGAAGGCAGTCACATTGCTCCCAGGTAATTTCAAAGAAGGGAAGATCAAAGAGAAGTCTGCAATGCAGCGAAAACCCCTCTGAACCTTGGATCAGGCCCCAGCCTGGCTTCTCCGCAATGGTGCCTTTAACAAACCTCAGGCACCTCCCAACCAGGGAGGCAAAGAGAGTCAGTATGTGCCCAAGAAACGGTTGGAGTTTTATTATTCGAGGCTGAAGGAGACCTGTTGGCAGCACTCTACTTTTCATAGTTAAAATCATTTATAGTTGTATCATTTCATTAATTCTACTAACTGATACCCTCTTTTAGTCAAGGTTTTTTTAAAATTCTTTTTCTTTTTTTTCTTTCAAAGATTCTTTTTTCCAAATAAGTCAATGATCTTTTAAAATGCTATTTTCTCTTTTTTGGCCAGGATATAGAAACAATACTGGATACACTAATTTGGAAGTGCAAAATTCTCTTACTTGCCCTTTCCCTTCCCTTTTATTTTCGTATCACACAAGGGGAAAACGATAACAACTAGATTCTTACCTTGAATTTGCTTCCTAGAGGGTCTTTCTGCCTCTGTGGCAGCCCTTTGTGCATGCTAGCACCAAATCAGCTGTCCTAACACACTGACTCATTCCTTCTCTGTCCAGAAGCCTTCAAGGACTTCCCGTGACCTAAAGATAACACCAAAGTGCCACTGCCCGGCAGGTGAGGTCTTCAGCGTTTGCTGAAGGGAAGCCCCATTCCTGCCCGTCCTTGCCACGGACCAGCCCACGACTGTGCCCCCCGCGTCCCCACTATGCTCAGCTGCCTCTTCTCCGTGGGGAAGCTTCCTCTCCTAAGTCCCACCAGGCCTTCACATGGGGGCTGCTAATCTGCCTTTAGGTCATAGATTCCTCTCACCATCTGCAAGGGCTCCACACCTGCACGCTCACCACTTTCTCTTGGTTCAGACTGTCACCTTTGACTGGTAGGGTCGTCTGGAATTTATAATTTTGTCATTTCTTGACAATGAGATTGGGAGCTTCCTGAGGAGTCTCTTCATTTCACTTCTGTGTAATCCTCATTAAACAAGTCCAATGTTCATTACTTAGTCAACCCCAACATTGCTCACAAACATCTAAGCATGGGCTATCTTGAACCTATTCAAATAATGTTAAAAGGATCCAAAAAGATTCTTTTTAACTTCTCTTGATTCATCATTTACAAAGACTATCACTATTTTTAGGTCTCAGGAAACTAGGTGGTAAAAAGTTCAGCATTATATTTTTGGTGCAGTTTTTCTTAAGTTAGAATGCATGATAGAGGCAAAGCCTGATGTAAAATGGAAACATTCGATATTTAAGACACTCACTATAGAGCATTTGCTTCCTGCATTGATTTTAACATGCTTAGAAATAAAACCCCTGTTAGTCTCAGAAAACAACATTAATTCCAAAGAATAAAATGCTCTGATACCTCACAGGTAAGGCCTCCCCATCAGCAAAATGAAGATAATAGTTTACTTCACAAGGGATTAAATAATGTATGAGGAAATAATATATAAAATATAAAATGACATTACAATCTTGGTTATAATTATTAGAGTTATTCGCGGGGCGCGGTGGCTCGCACCTGTAATCCTAGCACTCTGGGAGGCTGAGGCAGGAGGATCGCTTGAGCTCAGGAGTTCGAGACCAGCCTGAGCAAGAGCAAGACCTCATCTCTACCAGGAAAATGGGAAAAATTAGCAAGGTGTGGTGGTGCGCGCCTATAGTCCCAGCTACTTGGGAGGCCGAGGCATGAGGATCGCTTGAGCCCAGGAGTTTGAGGTTGCAGTGAGCTGTGATGATGCCACTGCACTCTACCCGGGATGACAGAGTGAGACTCTGTCTCAAGAAAAGAAAAAAAATAGTTGTTTAAGTTATTATTTGGGGAAAAAATGCCAACCTTACTGAGCACACGCTTGGGCTAAAAGGCAGTGGCCATACATAGGGACAGGGGTACATTAAAAGTTTTAAAAGGTTTTTTAGTTCCTATTCATAACTTTTCTTGGGTTTGCAAAAAGTCAACTGACATAATGAGAATTAATTTGTTTTAGTTGTTTTGTTTTTCTATTTTATAATGACACTTAGTTATTTTTGGTTAACTCCTGTCATAAATCTCTTGCAGTTCTAAATCAGCTATCTAAAACAAAAGTACAACCTGAAAAAAAATTAGTATGATTAATACATACAGCAGGAGGGCAGGCTTCCATGTCTGTGGCTCCATCTCCTATCATGACTATTTTCTTAAAATGAAATTTTTCCTTTAAAAATTTAATAACTTTTCCTTTTCCACCAGATTCAGCTGTTGGTTGTGTCTCATCAAAACCTGCATATTCACCTTAAAAGAGCAGATAAAACAATGTTAAAGATCCATAGAAGTATATTACAAGGGCCAGCTTTTAGCATAGGTGATATCCTCAGTTAAATGTCACTGAAAAGGCTAAAAATGGCCTTCAGTAATGTCACACAGCCTGGAATTCCACACCTATTCCTGGGAATACACAAGCTTTGCTTTTACATTACAAACACCTAGGTCATAAACACCTTGGAGTGAATTAGTTGTATCCTCTAAGCTCCAGTGTAATAATTCTCAAACCTCGTTGAGGTAGCAGAACACCATACAATAGTAATACATTAAATTTAAAATGTTAGTATATAATTTCACCTAACAGGAAATTCCAACTTATTTTCAATCAATTATTTCTATTCTTACAGTAATTACCACATTCATTCTCGACTTCATTTTTCAATGATCTCTATCTATAGACCCTTCAAAAATGTTCTATTAAAACATTTAAAAAATGTTAGTATTATATGGTTTTAAGAATGATCAGCCACCCCTGACATAAATGGAGACCTCTTGAAACATAAAACTATAGCTGTGGCTTTGCTGCAGCCCAGAGAGGGGCCAGGAGGTTTCCCCAAGGGCAGATGCAGAGCAATAATCCACTAACAAAACTCTTCTTCCTGAGTCTCAATTGCTTCAAATGCATGACAGCTCTCATAAAATTGAAACATAACACATAACAAAACAAGTCATGTAGGCTGCATAGGAATTAACATTTTACTAAAAGCAGACATTTATATACAGATAGGCAATGCTATGGATACTAAAGCTGGACAGATACTGACCTAAGTCTACTTTGCAGAGCAAAGGCTACCAAGGAGCAGAAGACATCAGTCAAGAAAATCATTCATCTCAATATCTAACTCTCATGCCACCTGCTTAAGCTGCAATCCGACACACATTACCCAGGATACTGAATGATAGAACTGATGAGAAAGGAAACATATTACCATTAGAGTCTTACCATTAAAGTAGAATTTCAGCCTATTGGCAAACACATTGGTTGCTGGGATATTGAGCTTTGAAGCAACATGCTCTACAATACTCCTAAAGCCACCAGATATTAGGAAAACCTGAACATTTCGCTCTTGTAAGCGACTTACCAGCTCCCTGGAGAAATAAAATATAAAATACCAAACATCGATTAATAGAGAAAAAATAAATTGAGTAAAAGAGAAAAAAGTGAAACATGAATAGGAAATTGCAATGTATTTTTTTCTCCTGAATGCATCTGCCTGAGGTACATCTGACATGGTATATACAGTCTGGGGAATTGATGTTTTACATATGTTTTTCTAAATGCACTTAGAAATTAATGGGTGGGGCGTGATTGCTCTAGGAAACCACTCTACAACCATGGACCCAGAAAAACACAAGATGAAGAAACACAAGGAAAGCCTGGGCTCTCCCTGGGGAGGGGCGCAGGGCAGACACCGCAGGACCTAACAACCAGCCAGACAAGACCTTATGTAAGTGCCAAAAGAACCACACCGAGAGAGCGCTAAACTAATAGTTAGAAACTCTCAGGAGGATGTGCCCCAAAACACCAGTGCTGATAGAGAGACTGTGTACCCAGAACTGAGCCTCCTCTTACCTTATGCCGGGGGTCAGGTGTGGGGGGTGCTCTGCTATGAGCCTTTGCACCTGTTCCCTGGAGGGCTGGATCAGCGCTAAGCGCTCTGTGAGAGCAGCTTTGAAAGGCACTGCCCCACCCATGGCTCGCCGTGTCCTAGGAGTAAGACCCAACAGTCAGCTGTGCTCAGAGTTCACATGCCCTGCCGCCCTAGGTCTTTATCTACTATGAGGAAGGTGCTGCCAAGAGCCCACTGTACAACAGACAGGCTATGTCAAAGTCTGGGAATAAACTTCTGAAGGTTTGCTTGAGAATTACATTAATATTTTGGTGCCATGTGCTTTGTATCCACAAATACACCATCCAGTGATCTGAGAAAACCACACATCCTATCCATAGGTACCTTCCTTGAAAGCTGTGAGCTTTTGTAAACCAAGAAAGAAACCAAAGACTGGACACTCTTGCATCGAATGCAGCTGAAAATGAAATGGTCCATGACCCGGTGGCTGGGGCTGCAGACGGAGGTGCCACAGCTGCAAAGTTGGGGGGCAGGAGGGAGGGAGGGGCTCTGACCCAGGATCCACTGAGAGACTCAACCAGAACCAGCTTTCCAGTGAACCGCGAAGGCCACATTCCCAACCATGACACATGCCGGACACGTGGAGGCCCCCAGGCCATCTTCTTGGTTAATTATGGTCATTTCCCTGACCAAGTTAAGAGCATGTCTTATCCATCTTTGTTTGCCATAAATGTTTATATAAATGGATGAATGGAAAATGTAAACACCAAATTCAGTTCTAAATGATGGAAGAAAATGCCTAGTGCCCACGTTTCATAGCCAGGGACTAAAATCCAGGAATTGTGGCTCTGGTCTAACATTTCATCTAAAACAGTCACTCCTTTGAAAATCTTTTATCATTTCATAAAGTCACTAAATATTGTCCCTACATTTCTGACACAGCATCCTCAACTCCACAGATTTTGGCCAGTTCATCGATTCCTTCTTCTCTGATAACTGTACTGTCAACATCAAAACAGACTGCATCTGCCGAACAGAAAAGTTTCCTCAACTCTGAGTGGGAGACCATCCTTGGAAGAATTTTCCTTCTACAAGAGAAAAAGATAAATGTATTGAAGGACATAAAATATCATTATAAAAAGATTCAACTTTGCCTACTAAAGCCAATCTACTTTAATTTGTATTAAAGTCAGTGCAGCCCATATGAGCATGTACTCACAGATTCATTCATTTCTTAACACATTAGCACCTTCTAAATGTCAGGCTCTGGGATTATAAAAACAAATGGGACCCAAACTCTGCCTTCAGGAGTTTAGTCTAGTAAAGATACCAACTGGTAAATATATTTGATGTTGAACCAGTATTCGATTATTTTTGACCTAATAATTATAGCAAAAAGGCAAGTGTTAAAGCACAGATGTGCGTACAGCACGGTGGCACAAGTAGAAAATGTTTAATCTTGTCTATGAAACAGGGCTTCAAAGAGACACCAGCATTTGAGCTGAATCTCGACAGGTGAGCAGCCCTCTGAGTGGGTTGTCAAAGGACAGGGCATCAATTTGGTGTTTGCTGGGAGTAGGGGGGACGAAGGCGGAGTTAAGGAGAGAGGGTTGTGATAGCAGAGGGAAGAGCATGAGCAAAAACAAGCAGGAAGAATGAGCAGATGACCTGCTGGAAGCTATCCAAGGGCTTGGCCCCGCTGGCAGTGCATAAGGAGTTCAGACCAAGAGGAGCCCAGGGCCGGGCGAAGGAGTTTAGATTTTAACTTCTAGGTAATGGAAAACCTTGACAGGCTTTAAGTCTCAGAAGAGAGGTTAGAACTAAATATACACATTGGTTAGTCGCCAGTGTAGAGGTGATAGCTGAAGACATGGTCTGATTATACCCACCAGGGAGACAAAGAGAGGGAGAAAAGAAGAACACTAAGGACAGAGCCCACAGGACCACCTCTGTGTCACGAGCCTGGGGAGGGGACTGAGAAGGAGAGGTCAAAGGAAGAAACTCAGGAAGGCATACTGCTGCAGAAGCTAAGGAGGACAGAATTTCTAAAAGAATTGGGTTTTTTTATTTTTTAAGAAAATCATTGGACTAGCATCAGGGTGAAAGGGATGCTAAAGTTTGCCCAGAACAACCTCTAATCAAAGAGACTAGGCCGGACGCGGTGGCTCACGCCTGTAATCCTAGCTCTTTGGGAGGCCGAGGCGGGCGGATTGTTTGAGCTCAGGAGTTCGAGACCAGCCTGAGCAAGAGCGAGACCCCGTCTCTACTAAAAATAGAAAAATTAATTGGACAACTAAAAATATATAGAAAAATTAGCCGGGCATGGTGGCACATGCCTGTAGTCCCAGCTACTCGGGAGGCTGAGGCAGGAGGATCGCTTGAGCCCAGGAGTTTGAGGTTGCTGTGAGCTAGGATGACGCCACGGCACTCTAGCCCGGGCAACAGAGTAAGACTCTGTCTCAAAAAAAAAAAAAGAGACTAATATGTCATGTACAGGGCCACGCAGATGATGCAAGTAATCTACATTTACAATAGACTGTGGCTAAAAACAGACTCAAAGGAGCCAGTCAACCGATTCCCAGTCAATGCATTTGGCAGAATAATGTGATTCAAAGTTGACCTGTGGGGTTGAGGGTGGGGGGAATCTTTTAAGCCAGGGCTCACCAAGCCATGGCCTGTAGGCCAAATCCAGGCTGTCACCTGTTTTTGTATGGCCCAAGAAGTAAGAATGATTTTTACATTTTAAAAAGTTGGGGGAAAAAATAGAATAATATTTGGTGACATGTTAAAAATTATATGAAATTCAAATTTCTGTGTCCATCGATACACATTTTTTTTTTTTTGAGACAGAGTCTGGCTCTGTGGCTTGGGCTAGAGTGCCGTGGCATCAGCCTAGCTCACAGCAACCTCAAACTCCTGGGCTCAAGCGATCTTCCTGCCTCAGCCTCCCGAGTAGCTGGGACTACAGGGATGCGCCACCATGCCCGGCTAATTTTTTCTATATATATGTATATTTTTAGTTGTCCAGATTCATTTCTTTCTATTTTTTAGTAGAGACGGGGTCTCGCTCTTGCTCAGGTTGGTCTCGAACTCCCAACCTTGAGCGATCCACCCTCCTGGGACTCCCAGAGTGCTAGGATTACAGGCGTGAGCCACAGCGCCTGGCCCTATCAATACATCTTTATTGGAACACAACCGTGTTCATTTGTTTATGTGTCTATAGCTGCTTTTGCACTTTAACAGCTGAGACTGTAGGGACTGTAGAGCCTAAAATATTTATTATCTGGCCCTTTATAGAAAAAAATCGCCAGTCTGTGTTTTGAGCCCTTACAAGAGAGTGCTCCAAATAGGAGACACGAATTCACTGGAGATCCATTAAAAAGGGGAAAGAGAGGGTAAATTAATGAATCCAGTTAGAGTAAAACTTTATACTACGCACTAACATTATCGACCTAGGGTAAATGAAGTTTCCATGCAACAGAAAACTGTAAGAAACACATGAATACTAAATGTGTGTGCTACCGTTCTTCTACAACCTATTTTGTCTCCTACCACCATGCTCATGTTCAAGCTGATCCCTCAACTTAGAGGACTGGCTTTCCAGCCAGGTTCGCGTATTGTCCCCTCTTTGAGGCTGAGCTCCCTCTCTGCCTGGTCCCTTCTGTTCTCTTAAGGGCACAATGTCCCACCACCCATCCTTGGTCTTCTCTATCTACACTCACTCCCGTGATGAATTTGTCCTGGCTCATGGCTTTAAATGCCACCTCTATGACAATGACTCCCGAATGACTACCTGAAGCTCAATTCTCTCTCCCAAACTCAAAACTCCAACTACCTGCCTGACCTCCTCTTAGATGTTTAGTAAATAAACATCCCAAATTTAACATCCAAAACCGAACAGATCTTCCCTCCCTGCCAAAAACTACCCTTCTGGCAGCCTTTCTCCTCTCCCTTGATGGCGGCTCCCTTCTTCATTCACCCCTGACATCTGTCTTTCTCTCACACCCCACATACGATCTTTCAGGAAATTCTGTTGGTTCCACCTTTAAAATCTAACCAAAATCTGCTCACCACATCCACTGCTGTCCCTTTAGCCTGAGTCATCGATGTTTCTTGCACCAACAGCCTCCATCCTAGTATTTGTTCTCACCATAACAGCCAGAGTAATCACTGCACTCATTATGTTTATTATTTGTTGTTTCTTTGTCCTCAATAGGATGTAAGTTTCAAGAGAGTAGGAATCTTTACCTGCTTCATTCACTGCTGGATCCTTACAGCTGAGAATAGTACTTGGCACATATTAGGGCTCCATAGTATTTGTCAAATTAAGTGCGTGAATAAAGCTCAAATGCCGTCTTCACTATAAAGTCTTCCCTGATTCCCCTCAGCTAGAAATAATCTCCCCCTAGAACTTCTACAGTACTTTCTGTAGACCTATTCTTAATATGTGAAAGTCACAGGCCAGGCGTGGTGACTCATGCCTGTAATCCTAGCACTCTGGGAGTCCGAGGCAGGAGGATCGCTTGAGCTCAGGAGTTCAAGACCCGCCGCCTGAGCAGCATAGCAAAACGCCATCTCCACCAAAAAAACGTTTTTTAAAAAATTTTCAGTCTATATTTCTAAAAGGTAAAAACTTTTTTTTAACATGATCATTTGCATTTTAATTTTAACTATATTACTGTATCTGCCTATATTCAGGTTTGACTGCTAAGTAATCATAAACTATTCCAGAATCAAATCAGGTTAAGACTTAATCATAGGTTAAGATCTGATATGACCTTGTGATGATGCCCTTGCTAATTCATTCCTCGTCATTAGCATCATGTCATGTCTCTATTATTCAATTCGTTTATGCCTTTCATGATTTGGCTCCTATGTATTTCACCAACTTCATTCTCTACTGCTCTTCTCCCCCACAAATACACACACACACACATACACACACACACACACAACTTATGCTCAAGAAATACAAAGGACTTGTTCCTTATATATGTCATATTTTTACTCCTTTATGCCTTTGCAAATGCTGTTCCCGCTGTCTTAAATCATCACATTCCCCACGTCACAGGGAAATTCTTATTTTTTCTTCAAGGTGCAGATCAAATGACCTCCCCTATACTGTACTACTTCCTCCCTCCCCCACCCAGAGAATTAATTACTGCCACTCCTCTCCTAGAAGTAAACTCCTTCAGGGTAGCTCCCTTAACTGGATGAATTATCTTTACATCTCTGCATCTAGCACCCAGGAGATGTTAGTTAAATGTTTCATGAATTAAATAAAGTTGAATGCAAACAGTTATTGAGAAGTCAACAAGGAATAATACAATAAAACAATTTCAACTTCATATGCTATTAGTCTAAAATTAAAATCCTTAACCAGCAATGATGACTATATCCATGAGACAGAATCGGCATCATATATTCTGAAGTTAGAAGAAACCTCAAAACTATCATCTGGGAGGCAGGCACAGTGGCTCATGCCTGTAATCCTGGCAACTTGGGAGGCTGAGGCAGGAGGATCACTTGAGCCCAGGAATTCGAGGATGCAGTGAGCTATGATCACACCACTGTACTCCAGCCTGGGCAACAGAGGAAAGATCATGTCTCTTTTAAAAAATCAAAACAAAAAAACTATCATCTGGGTCTGGTCCCATGCTTTTCTGCAGAAACAATATTAACATACTAATAGAGGTACATAAGGAAGTATATCCCTGTCTATTAGCTTTACCCAAGGACACAGAGCTAACTAGGTAAATGTTAGAGAGCTAAAACTTGGATCTCAAATGCACAAAGACAACATAGAAGAGGTGCATAAATTAAGCAAAACTAAATAAGATTAAGCATTTATAAGAACCTAAAGTGGACCCCAGGAAATGTCAAAGATTTTCATCAGGAATTCAGGCCGGAGTTCTGCCAGCTGGACAGTGCAATAGGTGATGATTCACTAACAGTGAAAAAAGAAAGTCTGTACTTTCTTTGGGAGACCAGCAGATAGAAACAGTTTTCATAAATAGTCAAGTTCCCACCAAGCCAGAGAACTCCAGGCAGCTCCATATCCTACTCTCTCTGTGGCTCAGACGCCAGCCCTTTGGCTCTGGTCCAGCAGGTCATGTTACATGGCCGGGCGGGCTCACTATAAAGGCCTAGGCGATAGCAGGTCCATCAGAGAAGCAGAGCTTAATGCAGTGCGGTTCCACTGAGTGTGGAAGATGAGCCACAGGGAAGTGGAGAGGAAGCCAGGAACAAACACTTGATGTCAGAGGAGCTAAAATGAGATAAATGAGACAGGCTAAAGAACATTCTAAGAATGTGCAGGAGGCAATACAACATAACTAAGAACGGGCAATACTCCTGAGAATGGCTGACAGGCACCTGGAGCCTCAGAGGTAGTATGAAGACAAAGCCAGTCGGTCCCCAGACCCTGGCACAAGACCCGAAAGAGGAACAAATGGGCACCGTCTTCAAAAGCCTCCCAATCTTGTTGAGATAATCAGAGAAATAATTATTGTGCACGTTTTTTCCAACCATAGGTACCAGCAATAGCTTCAACAAGACCACCAGCTTCAAATATGAAAGGAAATATACATTTCCTCCAATAGAGCAAGGATTGATTTCCACATCCCAGCTGAACACGAGTCCTGACTTATGGTTCAGAATCATTGTCACTTACCTCCTGGGTTGCAATGTGTTCCCAAAGACAGAAAATAGGGTGCTTGAGACAAACCTTACAATGAATTTACTTGGAAGGCTGAATTTTTCCCCACCCCCTCGGTGGGAGACTGAGCTGGATTATATGACCTTAATTCCTCCCATGAAATGCTCATGCCAGGGGATGCGCCCTTCACCCCCTTGGATTACAAGGGTTTCAACCCCTTCCCTACTTGATTGAGCTGCAGAGCAAACTTGACCTCAGCTTCCTGTAGCTCTTCCCAACCTGCACTATAAAATGCTCTGCCTCCTTGTTCACTTCCGATTCCCTCTTTTCTTCATTGTCTCCACCAAGAATGACTCATAATTCAAGCATATTCAAAATTCTCATGGCCACAGGGGGAAAAATGTGCTGAGTAAGCTCAGTTGCTTCAAAGTAAATTGTGTACATTAGAATTTCACACAAAGAAAAATCGTTGCTGGGGATTGGACTCTGGATTCTTCACAACTGGCTCTTGGCGGGGAGGGAGGGGACAGGGCTGAGCTGGAAGAAATCCTGGTGGGAGGTTCTACCCTCACACATAGCAGGGCCCAGGCCCAACCACTGCCTTCTGCAGCTCAGACCAGGATTCCTGCCTGGCTGGCCTCCAGCTGGTCCCTCTTGGGCAACCAAAGGGCCAACTGATAAAAAAAGCAACTGCTGACAAGCCCTTCTCAACACTAGTTCCAAAGTACAAAAGCAAGTTTTCCTTCAGGGCCAGCCACAGGGGGCCTGATTTTGGATAAGAGGAAAAAACTTCCTTGCCCAAACAAACTCTCTCCCAACGTCTCCATCTATGCACCTTTCACGAGTCATCCAAGGTCGCCTTACCTCCTTCACCTTTGGCTGTCTTCACCTGTGTAAGAACAGATAAAAGCCAGGACAGAGGTGGCGGTGGGGGGAGGGGGAGTCAAGCGTAGTTGAGAGAACAAAGCTTAGTGGGCTTTGGGAGTAGAGGCAAGTCTGTTCAGGCCCCTGGGCACTGAAACAGGGCACAGCAGATTCTGAGAAGCTTCTGAATCGGAGAGTCAAAGAGCTTCCATGTTTGGATGGTGCGGTACATGATACTGGAAATAAAAAAATAATTTAAAAAAAAGAGCCTCCATGTAATTAGGGGGAGAGTTCCTCCCTGGTCAAATGCACTTATCATACATTTTATCATTTTATGATTTTTTTTTAAGTCATTGTTCTGGGAACCCGAGATTTACGTATGCCACGTAGGTTACAGCAGGCACTTGTTTTTTATTCAGGTGAAGAGTAAACTGCTAACTGACAGACATGTAACAACCAAATGCATAAGAAAAATTAACAGCAACAAAAGACGAACCAGACTCACGTTTCTCCAGTGCTGGGTTCCTAGGAGATGACACTCTTCTCCTCCTGGTCCTTTCCCGAATAAAAATGCAGCATAAATTTCTGGCTGTGGATTTGTTTAAGAAATGTTTATGGGTTTTGCAAGAGCAAGAAAAGCCTAGAAAGAGAGAATGAGGAAATGAACATTAAGGTGCAGACATATAACAAGAAAGAAAGAGACTGTCTGGCTTCAGTCGCCCTCCTAGCAGGACTGGCACTAAACAGGTCAGATGTAAAGTTTCCGAAGACTGCTTCCTCAGGGAAACGCTTCACTCCTACCTTGCTCAAGCACTGGGAAGGTGGCAGAGGGGCAAACACATTCATTTCTGTGGTTTGATTCTGCAAAAGCTTCATGTCTGATGGGGAACCACCTACACCTGATTAGCAGGTACACAGACACGGGAAAGGAAAAGAGGGTCTGTTGGAGAACAAAATGCAAATACAGCCAAACAGTTCCTGCTGTCTTCCAGAAGAGGAGCCAAAGTCAACAACATTCTGAGAAGAGTTCTGCTGCCCAACAGCAAGGACCAAAGCCAATAACTTTGAATTATAACCGTCATAATTAAAACTGCAAATATAAGGGAAGTGCATAAAGGTGTTAAACCTCACAAAAAAGGAAAAAGATAAAAAGAAATGGTTATGAATAGAAGGCAAGAAAAAGCAGAGACTGACAAGGAAGGGGGCCAAATGGCTCCTTACAAAGGAAATAAGTAATTCAGAAAGTTCGCATGGTCCTTACTGAGCTCAGAGAAAAGGATTCGGGTACTCTTCCTCACACCTGAGTCATGTGGAGTAATACTCATGTGAAGAAAAAGAGTATAAGGTATACTCAAAGCCCAGTACCTGGGGATAGGAGTCGTGCATTTCTTTTTCCACTCTTTTGACCATGACTGGCTTCTGCAGGAATTCTGAATCCCACTGTCTACGGGCCAGGAAAGCTGCAACCCAGGGGAGGCTCCTCCGAGAGGACCCACCGCCCAGAATGGCAAGACAACTAAAGGAATATTTTAAATTTACTCTTTTAATATAGCTTACTCTTTCTCCTTTGATACTGCTTACATCTAAAAAGAATTATTCTAAAGACCTTCCCTATTTCCCTTATAATCTGGGATTCATACTCTGCTACTGGACTTTTTCTTTTTAATTGAGCATGTATTAAATCATGTGACAATTTAAGAAGTCCCTTCTATTTTGTTTCACTAACATGAAAATGACAGGACTGTGATCATTATTATGTTGAAATCCTACCTGGCAGTTTTAATAAAATACAGAAATCTTGAAATTTATATTCCTCCCTGGCCTGCCATCCAATACGAAACATTAACTCAAATGAATCACAGACCTAAACACAAAAGCTAAAACTATAAAACTTCTAAAACAAAAGAGAAAAATATCTCAGCTGTGGTTGGCAGCCTCTCAAATGGCCCCCAGTGGACCTACCTCCTGGTACTACCTCCCTTCTGTGATCCCTCCCCTTGACGTGGGCTGAATTTAGTGACTCTTCTAGGTAATAGGGTGTCAGTTTTGAGATAAGACTGTGACACAAATGAGTGCATGTATAACTGTCGCATCGACATAAACTCCATGGATGGAGTTTATTCACATCCCCCCACCCCAACACCACCTCTCTTGCTCTGAGGGAAGGCAGCTGCTATGCTGTGAGCTGCCCTATGGAGAGGCCCAAGTGCCAAGAACTCAGAGGTCTCCAGCCAATGGCCAATGAGGAACTGAGGCCCCCAGTTCAACAATCCTCCCCCAATAAAGCATTCAGATGAGTTGGCCTTGGCCCAACTGCAACCTCTAAGAGACCAAACCAGAACCACTGAGTTTAGCTGTTTCCAGATTTTTGACCCACAGAAACTGTGACAAAAACAAAATAAATGTTTGTCATTTTAAGCTGCGGAATGTTGGGCTAATTTGTTATATAGCAATATGTAGCTAACACAAAACCTTGAAGGAGACAAAAATTTCTTAAATAAAACACAAAAAGCATGAATAATAAAATGAAAAATGACAGATTAGACTTTATCAAAATGAAAAACTTCTGTTCTTCAAAACACACCATTAAAGAAAAAAGAAAGAGGCTGGGTGCAGTGGCTCACGCCTGTAATCCTAGCACTCTGGGAGGCCGAGGCGGGCGGATTGTTTGAGCTCAGGAGTTCGAAACCAGCCTGAGCAAGAGCGAGACCCCGTCTCTACTAAAAATAGAAAGATATTAATTGGACAACTAAAAATATATAGAAAAAATTAGCCGGGCATGGTGACGCATGCCTGTAGTCCCAGCTACTTGGGAGGCTGAGGCAGGAGGATTGCTTGAGCCCAGGAGTTTGAGGTTGCTGTGAGCTAGGATGACGCCATGGCACTCTAGCCCGGGCAACACAGTGAGACTCTGTCTCAAAAAAATAAAGAAAGAAAGAAAGAAAAAAGAAAGAAAAGACAAGCCACAGAATGGGAGAAAATATTCATAATACATATATCTGACAAGGGACTTGTATTCAGAATATATAAAGAATTCTTACAACTCAATAATAAGACAAACAACCCATTAAAAATGATTAAAAGATTTGAATAGATATTTCATAAAAGAAGATATGCAAACAAACTCAAAAGAATGACTAAAATTAAAAAGAGTGACAATACCAAGGGTTGGTGAAGACATGAAACAATTAGAACCCTTGTACATTGCTGGTGGCTGTGTAAAATGGTATAACCATTTTGGAAAACAGTTTGGTAGTTTCTTATAAAGAAACTTATATACTTACTGTAAGACCCAGCAATCCCACTCTTGGAGATTTATCCAAGAGAATTGAAAACATATTCATAGCAGCTTTATTTGTGATTGCCCCAAACTAGAAACAACCCAAATGTCCACCAAGAGATAAATGGATAAACAAATTGTGGTATATCCCTACAATAGAACACTACTCGGGAATAGAAAGGAATGAATTACTGATACATGCTACAACAAGAATAAATATAAAAACATTATACTGACCAAAAGAAGCCAGGCACAAAAGAGTACATACTGTATGGTTCCATTTATGTGAAACCCTAGAAAATACAAATGCTATAATCACAAAGGTCAGATCAGTAGCACTAGGGGTAGGGGTGGCGGGCTGACTGGATATGCCCTGGGAAACTTTTAGGAGTGATGGAAATGTTCTATTGTAGTGCTGATTATAAGTGTGTATACATTTGTTCAAATTCATCAAAACGTGCACTTAAACTGGGTACACTCTATTGCATTAAATTGTATATCAATAAAACACCAGGTTTACAAAGTTGTTAGTCATGTATCAAATTTGAAAAATTTCAAAATCCTGACTACTTTGTTTCACCAACATAAAAGTGACAGGACTATGATCATTATATTGAAAACCTGCCTGTCCATTGTAATAAAATACAGAAATCTTAGATTTTATTATTTTCTTCTCTGATCCTCATTCCAATACCAGTCATCAAATATTCAAAGAGCAACTATAATACGTAAATCACATACAAAGAAAATATAGTAAACATTGGTATCTATTCAAAGGAAAAGAACTCATATCAAAAAGATAACCTGTACTGGCCAGGCACGGTGGCTCACGCCTGTAATCCTAGCACTCTGGGAGGCTAAGGCAGAAGGATTGCTTGAGTTCAGGAGTTTGAGACCAGCCTGAACAAGAGCGAGACTCATCTCTACTAAAAATACAAAGAAATTAGCCAGGCATGGTGGCGCATGCCTGTAGTCCCAGCTACTCCGGAGGCTGAGGCAGGAGGATCGCTTGAGCCTAGGAGTTTGAGGTTGCTGTGAGCTAGGCTGACACCATGGCACTCTAGCCCAGGCAACAGAGTGAGACTCTGTCTCAAAAAAAAAAAAAAAGATACCTGTACTTGTGTATTTATCGCAGCACTATTGCCAAGACAAAGATATGGAATCAACCTAAGTGTCCATCAACAGGTGATCGGATAGAGAAAATGTGGTGTGTGTGCGTATATATATGTATATATATACGCACACACACGAACGCACACACACATACACACACACAGAATACTACTCAGCCACAAAAAAGAAAGAAATCATGTCTTTTGCAGCAACATGGATGGAACTGAAGGCCATTATCTTAAGTGAAACAACTCAAAAACAGAACGTCAAATACCACATGTTCTCACAAGTGGGAGCTAAATAATGTGTAAACATGGACATGGAGAATGGCATAATAGACCCTGGAGACCCGAAAACGTGGCAGGGTGGAAGGGGGTGCAGGAGGAGAAATTACTAAATGGGTACAAGGTGCGCTATTTTGGTGACAGCTAGACTCAAAGCCCTGGCTTCCCCACTACGCAATATATCCATGCAACAGAACTGCACTTGCACCCCCTAAATCTATAAAGATTTTTTTTTTTTTTT